TCTCTGCCAATGTCTATGTGATGGCATTCAGGTGTAGGTGCCTCTCTGCCAAGGCGTCTATGGCTTGGGACATATGGAAATCGTACCGAATCATGGGCGGGCAGTGGCATTTGCATTGGTTGGACGTGCGGAAAGTCTAAGCACTCAGGCTGAAATGGGTCAAACTGAAGTGTAAGTGCCGGTTCATCATGTTCATCTTGGAGAACTTCTAGGTCTTGTGGATACAAGTCTGGCGTTGATGAAAGCTCTGGATGGGCATTGGAAGGATGTGGCACACATGGATCAGAGGGAAAGGGAGCTGGCACAAGCGGTTCTGTATTGATGGCTGGACATGCAACAACTTTCCTTCGACGCCTGCGCATCCAACACGCCAAAACAAGCGCAGCAAAAGCAACGATTGCAACTCCAACCAATATGCAGATTATGCCCGACAAATTTTGCACCATGCAAGTTGTTGTAGTGGTTGCTGTGCTACTGGTTGATGTAGTAAAGGTTTGGGTCGAAGACATGGAGGTGGTTCTTGTCCTGGTGGAGGAACTGCTTGTCGAGGCAGAACGAGTCACCGAGCTCGATGTTGAACTAAATGTTGTGGTTGTGGAAAAGCTGGTGCTGGACGTGGTGCTGCTGGTAGAGGCAGTCCCGCTGCTTGTGGCGGTATTTGAGCTGGTACCTGAGCTGGATGTTGTAGTTGTGGACAGGGTTGTGCTGGACGAAGTGCTGCTTGTCGAAGCGGTGCGGGTAGTGGTGGCAGTGCTGGAGCTGGTGCTTGAGCTGGATGTTTTTGTTGTGGACAGAGTTGTGCTGGACGAAATGCTGGTTGAAAAAGTGCTGCTGGTAGTTGAGGCAGTGCCAGAGCTGGTGCTTGAGCTGGATGTTGTACTTGTGGACAGGGTTGTGCTGGACGAAATGCTGCTTGTCGAAGTGCTGCTGGTAGTTGAGGCGGTGCTGGAGCTGGTGCTTGAGCTGGATGTAGTAGTTGCGGACAGAGTTGTGCTGGACGAAGTGCTGCTTGTCAAAGTGCTGCTGGTAGTTGAGGCAGTGCTGGAGCTGGTGCTTATGCTGGATGTAGTAGTTGTGGACAGAGTTGTGCTGGACGAAATGCTGCTTGTCAAAGTGCTACTGGTAGTTGTGGCCGTGGTTGTGGAATACGTAATGCTGGATGATGTGCTGCGAGTAGAGGTGATGCTAGTAGTGGTGGCTGAGCTAGAGCTTGTGGTCAAGGTTGTTGCAGAGCTAGTGCTGCTGGTGGAGGCTGTCCTGGTTGTAGAGGTAGTTGTGACCAGGAATCTCCATGTATCGTGCAAACAATTGCCCGCGGAATAGCCCGAAAAGCCACCGTGAATCCAAAGTGACGCACTGGTGACATCCCAAGCAGCAGCATGGTAATAGCGAGCGACAGGCCCGTCTTGAACTTGGTTTGCGATTAAGTCCCAACCTTGGATTTGCTCCCAGGAACCTGGACAACATGTATAACCTATTTTTCAGAAGGATCCAGAAGCAGATTTCACCGGGAAAAACACCAGAAATCACCTGATTGGCGACAGGCAACTGTGGCTCAGGATGTTGAACCTCCAAAGTTCCCGTTGCGCCACCCCAGTGGATCCACCTAAGCCACCATGAAGCCAAATTGCTTGATTGCTGGAGTCCCAGGCTGCCACGTGATACGCTCGCAGTCCTGGACCAGCTTGTGAGACCAAGCTCCAGTTGGAGGTCTGGCTGTCAAAGGCCCACAACTCATTGCTCAAACCTGAGAGGCTTCAGTCAGACCAATGCGACTTCACTCGAAGGGCGCGCGACAGGACGTGTCTCATGTCTCTCGTAAGAAAAACACGGACTGGACGTGGTATACAGCTACTCGGCTACTCTCACTGAATCCTGATGGTCGGTCTTACACGCATGAATCGGCAGTGAAAGCTCGAGACATCCCAGAAGCAGGTAGCCCTCATGTACCATAATACTCTGCTATATGGAATGTGTGTTGAAAGCTATGATCACCCTGCCTTTGTCCTGACATGTTTTCAATGACCTTGATGCTTTTGGAGAATGATGGAACAAACATGAACAACGGGGTAATAACATGCAATAGCTACCACCTTGTCTAGTTCTAAAGTGTAATCTTTTCAAAGCAAAGAGCCATGACTGTCATATCCACCATGAACCCAAATGGCCGAATTGGTCTCGTCCCACGCAGCTGCATGATGAGCTCTCGCTGAAGGTCTGTTCTCAATGGGCTGGATTTGAGCCCAAGAACTTGACGAGCTTCGGAACGAAAACTTCCAAAGGTCATCCTGAAGATCGCTACCCAACCCTCCATGAAGCCACATGGCAGAACCGGCCGCATCCCACACAGCCACATGACTGCTCCTAGCCCTCGGAATGTCTCCAGGTCCACCGGCAAAGTGGCTCCAGCTCTGGTCCCAATATCTCCAGAGGTCGTTGAATAACGTCAAGCCATCAAAACCACCGTGAATCCACCACGCCCGGCTGCTGGGATCCCAAACAGCCACATGGTCTCCACGTTTCGAAGGGGCGGGAGACGTTGGTGGCTGCAAGTCCCAGGCGCCCTTGGCGGTATCGTACGCCCACAGATCTGGACTGAATGCGGCATCACGTCCGCCGTGAATCAGGAATCGCTGACCTGTAGCATCCCATGCAGCTACATGTCCCGAGCGCTCGGGACCGGTATCATTGACTAGAATCCAAAAGGCAAGCGCTGATGCGAGTCCATTGAGGAAGCACATCCGTTGCAGCGATGCCATGAAGCATCATGAAGCGGAGCTTTTTTATGAATTCTTGAGACGTGAAACAAGCTTCCAAGCAAGGAATGCGTGTGAAGAGCAATCATCCGTGCACACATTTCTTTTGTAGAGCCTTACATCTCAAACACGCATGGCTTCGAGGCATGACCAAAATTTGCTTTAACTGCTGTGTCACTGGCGCAGAAAGTGCCCTGCCACACTTCACATCACTTCACCTTTGCCTTCGTCCTGGTGCCGCTCGTCTCAAGCGACTCAACTGAGGGCTGTGCTGTTGTTTCAACCTGATACTTCTGCATCTTCGATGTCTTCATCTTAAGACGTCTCGGCTGCATCGTCTGCGTGGGGCGAGCGAGCCACGACGAAAACTCCAAAGGACTCAAAGGGACTTTGGTTGACGTAGACTCATGTAGACTCGGACACAGCTGGACAGGTGGTGACTGCGGCAATCGCACTGAAAAAAACCTAAATAGTGACCAAATCAGGTGACGCAAACACAAAGTTAAGTGACCCTGATGCTGACTATGGACTTGTGAATCGTCCCATGAAATTGCAAAACGGAAAGAAATGACTGATACTGCATGATATTGTTATGAGTTATGAACAAATCTCAGTTCCAAAAAAAACTTTGCTGGTCCTGAGTCTTGGGAGTTGTGATGTGCGAAGTTCCTGATGTTAGATCACGAGCGGTATGTCTTAATCTCCCACTGCCCTGCTGTACCCATCCTGAAGTCTAGGCACTCACACCTCAAGCAAGCCAAAGCACATGGCAACCACCTGTGGAGTGGGAGTGAAATTGGTCAACCCATTGGCACGACGACCCCCCGCCCCCCCGCCTTGGAGCTCGTTGGGTAGGAGAACCTGCCAAGCACCGCTGGAGAACCTGCCAGGCGTCCGTGAATAGAGATGACTTATGACCAACTGCGCTGGGTGGCGATGGGCCCTGGCGGCCTTTCCAATTCACCATGGAGGATAATGATTCGTTGCCTTGGCCGAAGAAAAGGATCATGGTTGCAAAAGTTGCCAGTGGACTCCCACTCAAGAACGGGCTGGCAGAATCCAAAAACCGTGAAGCGTTGGCATTTTGGTCCATCCGTACTGTCCGCCGGTGTAAAAAAAGTATCACAACAAGCCTCACCCCATCTCAACCCTTTCAACCATGTCTAAAGCCATCGCAATGCCTCAATGCAAAACTCTCAATCTCTCTCTCTCTCTCTCCCACTGGGCGCTTTTCCGACGAACATGGGTCAACTTACCACAGTGAGACACTCTGCTTAGGTCACTTGGTGACACTAGCGTCAATTTCTTGATGGTGAGGAACCGTGGCAATTGGTGAGCGGCGCCATTTCCTATGCGACCGTGCCAACCAGAAACCAGCTTTTAACAACATGTGTTTCTGATCAAGGTACTGCAATAACGTGAGCACGGTCGCGCTGGAAATCGCCAAGAGGAAACCGGAAAAAAATCCACAAAATACACATGAGACTCAACGAATCAAGAACCCATACCATTTGGCATGGAAACATGAATTCAATGAATGGACAACCCCCACCCACCTCCAAACACACTTGAGAACCCCTCGTTTGGCGGTGAACTGTTCATGTGTTCTTTCTCCGGGAAGAGGTTACTTTGGCAATGAAAATGTTGCCTCTTGCAAAGTCTAAGCTGCGTGCCAAACATTCACATGCGCGAGGCCGCGCTACTCATGCTAAATCAATGACTTTATGGACACAGTGGCATGTTCTTGGTGCATCCCTTGGTGCCCTTGGTGTGGGCAGGAGCAAGGCATTAGCCGCTGGGACAACTGTCCGCCTGGAATGCAATCGATCCCGGAAAGAAACAACACCATCATTCTCTAGTCGTGACGGTGAAGCAGCTGCATCTGCAACCGCCTCTGCTGATCTCAACAAGTCTTTCAGCCCATGCCTTTGGCAACTTGTCCCTGGCACAATCCCTTCTGCGACCCTTTGGGCTGCATGTTCTGCTAAACGAGCAGCAAGCTCTCCTCTGAGGTGTTGCTTTTCATGCGCACGTGCAGCGGTCAACTCTGCTGCTCGAGCCGAACATCCTGCTTCAATTCTCATTGTGGTGTTTTCTTCTTGGAGATGAGCAAGCTTTTCCTGTAGCAGTGCGTTTTCTTGCTGCACACTTGCAGTAGCATTCTCAGCCGCAATGAGCCTGTGATACAGCTCTTCCGCTTGTCGATGGGTCGTGTGTAAGGTCGATTCCGCAACCATTCTTGCCGTAAGGGCTTCTTGCAAGTCTTTTCTGAGACGCTTGAAATCCTCCTCTGCGCGTGCAGGATCAACGGGAAGCTTCTTCTCCAGCTCTTCTACTCTCTCTTTGAGCCTTTTCACTTCAGCTTCCTTCTCCTTCAATTGAGCAGTGAACTTTTCTGTGAGCTGCTTCTTTTCTTTCTCTGCACTTCTAGCATCCCATGCCATTGCAACATTGTGTTGATCAGCCGCTTGGAGAAGAATACGTCTTAAATCTTCATGCCTAAAGAAAAACTTCTGCACCTCTTTGTCTCCTTGAGCAGCTCCCACGGCAGCTGGTTCCGCTTCCATTTTCAATGCAGGACTTCTCCTCCGCGAGCCTGAAATGAAGTTCCGACCCAGGTCGACAGCCAGAAACGCGAAGCGCCGCGCGGGGGCAAAGCGCCAATGCCACGGCGTATTACGACGTGTTGGACAAGAGATCCTGCGAAAAACCAGCTGTGCATATATTCATCATGTCTGCAGTATAGTATGCAGTATAGTATAGTATTGTATTGTATAGAATGTTCATTATGTGTTTAGTATAGTATATTAATCATACGCTGTATATAGTCATGTGTAGTCATCATCTGTATAGCACCCAGTCCATTGGCTTTGGGGATCCGGATCCCTTGCTACTGTATATCACTGAGATTCCAAGCCAAAAAAACAGCTCACTAGATTAACATGCTGAACAAGCGCGGTGAAGGAATCCTGTATACATGTCACGTGCAAAACAAGAACAACCATCACACATCAAGAAATCCAAAGATCACCCAAGCCTCATGCCTCTGATGTCAGGGTAAATAGAACAAGGCCTTGGTGCTAGTTCAACACAATCGATTTCTTGCATACACACCCTCTCTTAAAGACACAAAATAAGCAAAAGGGCTTGCATCGGTTGCACTCCGACCGGAAAGCCTCAGCGCCTACTTAGTTTATGGCAGTGCGGTGAGTGAAAGAACAGAACATCTGTAGCCCCAGAATTCCAAAGGTAAACATTAGATATTACCAATTCAATGAATAAAATGTAATATAGAATATTATATATGCAGTTATATTATAACTGAACATTCCTGCTCACCTGCCACCTGCTTCACGGGCGTCCAGCCCTGGGCTTCTCTGAAAAAAGACAACCCATGGTGGATTGAGATCAGAACTGGAAGGGCTCTTCCTGAAGCGCAAGGGAGCTCACCTAAACACACATCCAGCCAAACACGTTGGCTCAAGTGTGGCTTCAAAAAAAATGCTCCACGATTCCAGGATGTTGTTCTTAGATCTTTCAAGTCCCAACCGCTACATGCCATAACCACTTTCATGATTCACCACAATCTGTTTCTTTATCTCTCTCTCTCTCTCATTTGATTGTTCGAACCACAAGAAAAGCTTGAACCGAAGGACGTCGGTTTTCACCCAAATCACAAGACTTACGTTCCGCGCCGTTCCGCCGTTCCGCTGGTCCAACAAAGCCCAGTGGTGGCAAGAAGCCGTAGCTGCATAGTGTCCAGGACCAAGGGCTGCAAACGCTGACAGTTACCCACCTGCGCTGCGAATTCATGAAACACAATGTTTTTTTCATCTCATGTGACCAAACCTGCACATCCAAAGAGATTGCAGCACCATCCGAAATGCAAGTCTCATGAGAAACTGGGCTGCTGGCAAAGTGCAAAAGAACGAGTTCTAACCAAGGATATCGGATATATCCAAGAACGTCCCAGCAACCTGAACTGTTCCATACTGAGAAATATCTAGTTGTGGCATCTTGTGGCTGCTCTTCTCCGGAAATTCCGACTCTTGCTTACTCTTCTTTGGGAAACTACGATTGCTTTGGGAACTTTTTGAGAACACACCGGGACAAAAGGCCCCTAGTACTAGCCAGTAATGTAAAATGGTACATTTGGCACTAGATTTGGCAACTGTTCTCTAGACGTCTCTGGACATATCTACTTTTAAATGGATACTTTTGGCAACTTGTCTCTCGAATCTCTTTGTTTGGTCACTTTTCTCTGGAAATCTACTTTGGGGCCCCAGCTAAAAAATGTCCAACCGTCGGTTCTTCTTGGTGATGTTACATAAGTGGTGTTGTTTGCATCTACTAGGTCCTAGGTAGTGGCCATTTAAAGACTGCAGGACTTCTCATCATGATCCACAAACAGTTTGCTAGCCCTGACCTCTATCAACTAGAATCTACAAAAGCCATTCGACCAGGAAGACTGACCCATGTTTGCATCAGCATGGAGCCCCGCTCTTGGGGCTCCGATGCTGGCCAACTTTACATTTTGGATCATTTTGGATTGGCCCTGGTTCTGGTGGAGGACCAAAAATCCTTTATGAGCTTAGCCTGCAAGCTAAGGCAATCAAAGGTCAGTGCTATTGCAGGAATTACCGGATCACGCGGCCCCGATGCCATCCTTTTCCTCGAGGCAGTTTTGGATTCACTCACCCTGAGCAATGCCTCTCAATGTACTCATGCAGCCCCACTGCGCGGCTGCTTGGCACTTTCCTAGAGCAGCCTCGTGGCAGTGCTAGAACACCCCAGAAACACGCACCTTTTTGTCCCCTGAACTTCTGCGACAATGACCTGATTTCTTGGTACAACGGTCGTACAACTAGTAGTGCCCAAGGAGCCAACTAAACCGGTCCCCCGTCGTCGGCAAAACTTTGAAAGGAACGACGGATTTCTGGTCGCGCGTGGCGCGCGGCCGGCGCGGCCAGCGCCTAAAAGAGCTATACCAAATGAAGCCCCCGACTTCGGTGAAAGACCTCGATGCCAAAGACGGATTTTGGTCGTTTTTAG